TAGAGAGGTCTGACTGTAGTACTAAATGTTTTGTTGCAAAATCTATTACAATAAAACCTTTATAAGTGCTATAAGTACATATCCTCAAAATGCACACTCAAGTTCTATCTCAAATATATACATATCTACTATAAATGCACTTTTTGTTATTGATCTCTAAGTGTATATTGTTAAAATTTGTCCCAAGAGCATGCACTTATAGAGGTTTTACTATATTATTCCTTTAACACATAGCATATAGTTCACTATATGTTATTATTGTTATCTATATCCCAATTAATAATATCAAAAGTTATGTAGAATGTGTAACTCACAAAAGCTGATTTTTAAAATTATAAATAGATAATTGAGTCAATATTATTATGTAGAAGGCGGCTTAATTTCAGTTTAGTTAATACTAAAATAGCAAATAACCTCTGTAATAAAATTATTTATATTATATAACTTATAATAAAATGTATAACAATTCAATACAAACCAACCACACATTGTGATCACCAAAATAGCAAGTAAGTTCTGTAAAAGGTTATTTACAATAAAAAAAATCATAGCAATTTTGATACAAACTATTCATACAATTGTCTAGATTATAGCAAAGAACCCTAAGAATTATAACAAATAATACAAAAATTATATTCTTGATATGCTTTACTTGTAAAAATCTTGACAAATTTTACTTTTTTTGACATATATACAATGTAAATTACCAACATATATATGTATACAAATATGTTTATATAATATAATAAACACAATATGATGGGTTCTGGTATGCGCCAGCCTATTACTTATTAGAAAAGTTAATAAGGAATTTTGTTTGCAACATAATGATGAGCCTCTTAATAATGCTATAACAATACCTAAATGTTTAACAGAGTAAAATCCTAGCTCGAAAAAAAAACTCCCAGCGCATCGACAGGCGTAGAACTAGATATACTGATTATAATGTTTATACTGGTTATACTTAACCCATGATTGCATTTATCCTTTCTATCCCACCAATATCACTGATGCAAAGTATACAGCCGGGAAGTCCATTTTTAGGGGATCCTTAATGCCGGCAGAAGTTAGGGTTACTTCCTTGATGCAGTTAGGGTTAGCGGGTGTATTAGAATATCAAGAACGCAAGTTATGCAAGATATAGATCAATATGTAAATCTGCCCGGCTTTAAGGAACCCCCATTTTTAGTAATTGATCGACATATCCGTGAGCCGTTTCTGCGTCACCTCGATTTACGTTTGGCCACGTGCTTCCGAAGTTCACAGTGGATAATTTCGAAGCCACTCAACCGGTGCGATTGATCGACTCTGTAATACAATATTAAACCTAGGTGCCGCACAAAAAATGCGCGGATGATCCTTGATTCTGATTGGCTAAGAGCGACGAACAAAAAATTAGGCCGGAATTACTCATAATTTTACTAATGAAATCGCAGCCGCCTATTAAGTGAAAATTGTTCCTGGGCCAATTTTACCATAATTCGTGCTTAATTTCTATTCTTATAATGAAAAAATTAAAGTCAAATCCGGCCGGAATTTAGTAAACAAATTTGTAATGCGGGCCAAAATTTCGAAGATCACCGGCCGTTAGCCAATCAAAATCGAGGATCATTCGCGCATTTTTTGTGCGGCACCTAGGTTTAATGTAATACAATACTGCAGTACCGGTATTGGCTACACCGAACTTTAGATTTGGTAAAACTAAAATGCCGTGGAATGTAGTACGTAAAGTTGTGAAAAAAACTATTTCACAGTATTTCGTTGAATATTTGTACAGTACAAACAGAAAGTTATGGCAAACATACCAGAAGAATGGCTTGAAAAAGCTATTTCCGAAGGACATATTAATTATATTGAATATAATAAATTTACAGACCCTATTGAGATCGGTGTTGGAGGTTTTGGAAAGGTTCTTAAATGCGAGTGGGGAGACAACGAATTATCAGTTGCTCTTAAATGTCTTAAAGTTGATACAAACATAGATAAAAAAACTATTAAAGATTTTATTAATGAGGTACCATTTGTTATATTAAATTTTAATATTATTCTACTTTAGAATATTAAATTTTTATAATTCATATAATTAGCTTAAACTATTACGAAGCGTTTCTAGTCATCCAAACATTATTTCATTTCATGGAGTCACGAAAGGTAAGCAAGAATTATAATTTTTAGTAGATATCAAATATTTCAAATAATGAATTTGTTAAGCAAAAATATTTATCAAATCAAATATATAGATAGAAACGGATTTTATAATATGGTTTTACAATATGCTGACGACGGAACATTACGAGAATACCTAATGAAAAATTTTACAAAATTACAATGGAAAGATAAACTATCTATTGCTAAGGAAATAGCATTCGGACTTTTATTTTTACATAATAATAATATTATTCATAGAGATCTAGTAAGTTCTACGTTATTTTTAATAGATTTTATATTTATCAGTTATTACGTACTTTAATATTTTAATAATTTATTTTAATAATTTAGCATTCGAAAAACATCTTAATTCATCAAAGACAACCAAAGATTACAGATTTTGGACTATCAAAGCAGATGAATGAAATGTCTATGACCTCAAACTCAATCATTCATGGAATGCCGGCATATATCGATCCTAAATGTTTTGTCAATTCAAAATACAAGCGTAATAAGAAATCTGACGTCTATAGTCTTGGTGTAATTCTTTGGGAGATTTCAAGCGGAAGGCCACCATTTCAAACCTCTGAATCAGAAGGATATTCACTCGTTGTTCATATCGTCCTTGGAAACAGAGAAAAACCTATAGAAGGTACACCACCTCAATATATTAAACTTTACAAACAATGTTGGGATAACGAACCCGCTGATCGCCCAGAAACAAAATCAATTCTCAAAGCTTTAAAACAAATGATCCCTAATGAATCTTTGAGTCGATACCATTTTATTGAAAAATCATCTCAAAATAACGAAATTTCCTTAAGCCGTCAAGATAATATGAATACACTTGAATCAACTCAGATTGAGAAATTGAGAAAGGATGCATATGAATATTTTGAGCAATGTAAATTTATTAAAGCATCAAAACTTTTTGAAAAAATTCTCAAAAAAAGTCAGCATAGTTCCGAAGATCAAAAAAAAGCTTCAGCCTGGGATCTTTCTTCGAATAAATGCGGATTGAAAAATTTAAAAGAGTTAAAAAATGCACTTTGCGAAAACACTATACTGACTTCTTTGAATCTTGGATGTAATAACCTTGGATCAAAAGGAGGAAAAGCACTAGCAGACGCACTTTGCAGGAATTCCATGCTGAAAGATTTGAATCTATATGATAATAATCTTGGATTAGAAGGAGGAAAATTATTAGCAGATGCACTTTGTAAGAACTTCACGCTGAAAGATTTGAATCTTCATGGAAATAAACTTGGATCAGAAGGAGGAAAATCATTAGCAGATGCACTTTGCAAGAACTCCACGTTGATTTCTTTAGATCTTGAATCAAATAAACTTGGAACAGAAGGAGGAAAGGCTTTAGCAGATGCACTTTGTAAAAATTCTACATTAAAAATTTTGAAACTTGGTTGGAACAATCTTGGATCAGAAGGAGGAAAGGCATTAGCAAATGCTCTTTGCAATAACTCCACGCTGACTTCTTTAAATATTAGCAATAATGAACTTCGATCTATTAACTTTAACTTTATAAATAGTTTTTTCAAATGGTCTATAGGAGAAGCATTAGCTAATGCACTTTGTAAAAACTCCACGCTGAAAGATTTGAATCTTACTAATAATAATCTTGGATCAGAAGAAGGAAAAATGTTGGCAAACGCACTTTGTAAGAACATTACCTTGGTCTCTTTGAATATTAGTAATAATAAACTTGGATTAGAAGGAGGAAAAGCAATAGCAGATGCACTTTGCAAGAACTTCACACTAACTTCTTTAAATATTAGTTATAATAAACTTGGATTAGAAGGAGGAAAAGCAATAGCAGATGCACTCTGCAAGAACTTCACACTAACTTTTTTGAATGTTCATGGTAATAATATCAATTTTAAATTAAAATCAAACAATTCTAATCTTAAAATAGTTCAATAAATTAGTATATAGTTTAGTACAAAAAAAATTTAAATAAAATTAATAAAAATTTTTTTATATCTAAGTATATAATTTTTTTTAAAAAAAGAAAAATTCTATCAGCCAATCAGAAGCTTGTCGTCCTATGAAACCTAGGTGCCGCACAAAAAATGCGCAGATGATCCTTGATTCTGATTGGCTAAGAGCAAAAAAGATACAAAATTAAAGCAAGAATTAATATTTTATGAAATTGATCGAGTGCGAAACAATTTTGTATATTTCAAAGGAAAAAGAACAAACTCTACTACAAAATGCAAAATTTTATACAACAAATATGGAGACGATCAAAAAATTAGGCCGGAATTACTCATAATTTTACTAATGAAATCGCAGCCGCCTATTAGGTGAAAATTGTTCCTGGCCAATTTTACCATAATGCGTGCTTATTTATTAAAAATTTCTATTTTTATAATGAAAAAATTATAAAGTCAAATCCGACGGAATTTAGTAAACAATTTTGTACTGCGGGCCAAAATTTCGAAGATCACCGGCCGTTAGCCAATCAAAATCGAGGATCTTTCTTGAAGTGTCCCCAATTTTATTTCGAAGAAATGATTATCGAAGAAATTTTTTATCTAAAAAAATGTACTGTAGATGAAATAGCATGTCGGCATTGCGGTGACAGAGAAATGAGTTGGCGGGTAGTTGTACTGTACTCTTACACCGGCATGACTTAAATAACGTACGTATAAACACATGATACTGTGTCGACATTAACTTCTATAATTGGAAAAATGAAAACCATTACTTACACTGAAAAATTTTATTAATTACAAAACGACTTTTAGCCAATTTCAATGATTATGTTCACAACCTTAATATCATGAATCTGAAATCTGTATTCTTAAAATTACTAAAGTACTAAAGTAGCTTCATCATGAACTTTTTTTTAAGTCATCAACTTGCTTTGTCAGATAATCAACTTTTTTCTCAATTTGTCTCAGATCGTCAATTTTTTTCTCTATTTGTCTAAGGTCAGGCTGTATTTCAGGAAGTTGGAGTGCATCTATAAGGTTATTGGAAAAATACGGCTTTTTATAAAAAATCAATTTGTTGTCTTGAATGTCTATTACAATATTCCGAAGTTCAATTATATGAGATTCATAGAAGCTGTTAATTTAAATATATAATGTTAAAATATTTCGTACATATGTGATTTTCATTATTTCCTAATTGACTTACATAACATATGGAAACCAATTTTCTTTTCTCCGTTGATGAGGTAGCATATAAAATAGTTCAATTTCAGCCAAAACCTGTAGTATAGGTCAAAATATTTCTATAAATTTAAATATTTAATTTAAACATGAATGAAACAAAAAGTATATACCTCGGCTTTTAGAATTAAAAATGATTCCTTTGTACTAGTTTCGCTAATCGCATTACTAAGCATTCCAATAAATAAATTTAACAAATAAATTGTCGATAAAAATGAAAATGTAATAAATAGAAATGTCAAAGTAGGATTATCAACTAAACTCCAGTTAGAAATTGATGTTGTGTCTCCTGTTAAATTTAAAAAAGATGTTAATACATGCTATTTAAAATTAACATTTATTGAATATTAAGCTTTTACCAGTAAGCATCATATAAACAGCTAAAATTGCAGTGCCTATCGCTTCAAACATATTAGTAGTTGTAGTAGGATTTTCATTGATAGTACGTAATAATATATTTAAAGAATGTGCAAAAGCAAATATAATAAACCCTAATATCATCAAAAATGAAAACGCTCTTTGCGCCACTCCAAGTATCATAGAAAAATAAACACCAAAAAATTCGGTTGCCCGAAAGAATAAAAGAAATTTGATTTCTAAAAATAAAGTAGAAATAGTAATCATTGATATTGGCATTATATCGTTTCTAAGCCATAAAATTGATGTTGCAATTGGCAATAAAAATGCACCCAAATCTGTGAAGTAAAAAAAAATGAAATTAGCAAATTTAATGTATAGCATGGTATTAAACGTATAGAACCACATCCAAATATATTAAGTTTAAATTACCAAAAAAATTCCATGCACTAGATATATATAATAATGGTGAATAAATAAATTGGCGTATTTCGAAAATTAAATGCCAAATTCCAAGACAGATAGTCACATTCAAGAGAATATTAATAGTATTCTGAGGAATACTTTTAGACAGTGTTGCAGGTATAGAAAAACTACAAAGAAAGATAGTGTAAATTGCCCAAATTGCTAAATAATAGTTTCTTCCATAAGTATTCCATTTAAATTCGAGTAACGCCTCTCCATTAATATATCTATAAAATTCATTATTAATCATTTCAACGTTGGATAAATATGTAAAACAATTAGGTTCAGGTCGCCATAATTCATTCCAAAAATCGTAATCTTTTGGATAAGAACCAAAGTTTGGTAGAGGTATTAAAAGTTTAGTTGAGGTATAATTTGGATAATAAATGTTTATTAATGGGTATATAAATCGGTTTTTAATGAAAGAAAATGTTATTTTGTGTTTTTCTTTAAAATTAATCCAATTCTTGGAAATATTAGAAGCCAATATATCAATAAAAGATGTTTTAGATAAATGACTGTATACTCCATGGCTAGATAAATGTGAAGTTGATTTTCGATTCACGGAAGGGGAAGGAAGAACAAATGCTATTTTAGTTAAAAAACTAGCTATAAACGCGGGATGATTTTCTAACAACTTAGAAAAAGAATCAAAATCAAAGATAATGCTTAGCAAGGAAATTTTAAAAATTGCGTGCGTATTATCCTTTACACACCCTTTAATACATTTATCAGCTAAAACTCGAATCAATGAGTCATCATTTAATAAGATGAATGTTTCCATAAGTTCTTTTCCATAAAAGTTAAAATAAAAGTCTTCATAGATACTATCTTTTAAAAACTCATTAAAAAGATAAACTTTGTCTTTACCAAATTTAACATCTAAATTTTTGCAAACTACCGCATAGCTAGAGGCTGGGAGGATTCTTTCCATTTCTTTATCATTAAAGAGGTTTTCAATTTTTTTTTCTGAAGAATCGACATTTTTTAAACAACCATCCCAGCTATTCAAATCCCAATCATTCCAATAATAATGCATCCTAATTTTTTCTGATCTGATAGTCCAAATAATTATACCAATGTGTGTAATCATAATTAAATCATCATTCTCGAGAAGTTCACATTGTAATATGAAGTCATTTCCTTTTTTTTCATAAAAAGATGGAAGGATATCTTGTCGAACTTTTGTTTGACCTGAATTAAAATCAGATGCCTCAAGAATGACAGAATCTTTCATGCATTTTAATTCCCATAGCAAAAAATGCCCTCTAAATTCCAATTCTTTAGATTCAATATCACTAATATTATTAATATTCTTTAATCCCTTCCTTATCGTTGCAATTATCTTTTCAGATGGCGTTGTAATGCTATTTGTATCGCCGAGATCCTTTCGTAAATAGTCAACCCAATTATCACGCACCAATTCTTTAATTAATAATTCTCCATTATGCATGTAAATAATTTTATCTGATTTAATTAAATATGGTTCCTGGATTATTTTTGCTTGATTTTTTTTATTATCCTCATCAAATTCAAAAAGTTTGCTTCCATCAATACTATATGTAAGCTTATAAGGGTCCATCAAATAATATTTTCCGTCTTTTGTTATAAGTAATAATCTTTCTCCTTTTTCAGCAGCTATCAAATGAAATCTATCCAAATTTTCTTCATATTCCTCTAAAAAGAAAGACAGAAAAAAAAGAATTTAATATGAAAAATCTACTTAATAAGTAATAGGTAATTTAATATTGAAACTTAACTGTATGCCAGATTGAAACCAGATTTTGTAGAAAACACGTATAACCGAGTTTTAATATTTTTTGTTTTTTTAATTTTTTTTGCATATACTAAAAGTAATCCTTCATCGTCACTTAGGTCAATAGATTCAAGGTCATAATCCCATTCTGTTAAGATATGAATATCAATTGATAATGATTCAATATTCCATATGGTTATCTCATGAATTGTGTCATTATAGATTACTAATTTTCCCTTAGGTGTTATGTAAATTTTTTGAAAATATTTCAATTCAATCATTGATATACAAATCCAGATAATATTATCCTTAACATCATTTACAAAAACATAGGCTCTGTAATCTTTAGCATTAACCATTATAAGGTTTCCATTATCAGTAAAGGATAAAAAGTCGATTTCCTTTTGATGATCCGGGAAGTGCAATGACACCTCATTATTAGTCTCAAAATTATATATTGCTTAATTTTAAAAATAGGTACTGTATAAGTATTAAATGCATTAATACTCGTATAGCGAGAAAAAAATTACAATAGCTTACCGAAATTGTAAGGATCAGTTCTTATAAGCTTAATGGAAACAACCTTATTATCTGAAACTGTAAAAAGTTTTGAACCTTTTGATTCTTTATCAATATCGTAGAAATTAATAGGGACCATCCCTAAACATTGCATCTCATTAATAATAGACCAAAGATAAATCTGATAATTTTCATTTAATATTGCAATATATTTCATTTTAGGCGAGCAAACAATTTCTAGAATTTTTTCTGTTACACTTTTGTTTAGACTCTGGTCTATTTGAATACTAAGACAATCAGAAGTAGATGCCATTCTGAATTCTCTTCTGCAATATTATGTACTTTTTTTCAAAAAAAATAAAAATAATTAAAAATATCGGCCGGTTTGATGTACGAAACAGAATATAAATATGCCGTTATGACTACAATTTCATTTGCATTGATAACGATGTGCAATTCCATGAATAATCAATATTGTTTTACACGAATTGCATGTTGCATAAAATTTTTATTTTACATTACAATTTATACATGACTAGCTGAATTAATTAATTTGTATAATACATTTAACCAGTTTAACATCCCTAAATTTGTTGCATTGTTTATACCTATTTACTACACATTTGCATATTATTTATTCTTTCGTTACAGCCACTATCATAAATCTAAGAACAACTGAAAACATTGCCAACGACTGGATATATAAATTGCCGACTTCCGCGAAACGACTCAGTAATCGGCAATTTTTCTGTTGTCGTGGGATATATCCGGATTAAAGATGGGATCTGCTCTAATATTAAAAATTGATTCTTTTGTCCTTTTAATATAATATGTAGAAGAGAATTAGATGATTTTATTTTGTTTTTGTGTTCAAACTTTAAGCCTGTAGCTGTGTACTTGGCCATTTTATGGCTGAGATTCCTTGCAAATAAATGAGTCACTTTAACATTATATCTGATTTAGGTTTAAACGGATGTTTTTCAAAATTCGGATATTTTGAAGAAGTGGTGACTAAGGGGACTAATGATAAACCTGACTATCTAACTAACTAAACTACAGCACCAAAATTATCCAACTATGGATTCAAGACTCCTAAAACCCTGAACTGGAAGACAGAAAGGAGGCGTGGAAGGATTTGGTCCGTGTTTAAGGCTTTCGGGTCTTGCTGCGTCGAAACTGGAGACTGGCATATCGGCGGATTTTGCAAATTGGGCCTTTTTGCTAGTTTCCGGATCTAATTATTCAGCAGTAAAGTCCCTTAAATAATAATTACGCAGATAGTCAGCTGATTAGTCCCTATAAAAAAGTTAGTACAGTTGTCGTAGGCATTGTCCAAATAAAAAAATGTTTGGATCGGAGTCGATTTTCCAAACAGGGTTTACTGTTTTCATAACGACGTTCGGGCAGGATGTAAAAATAGAAAATTTTTGATAGTGATGGTAAAAAAAAGGTTAAACCATTTTTTATATGTTTTTAATTGTTTTAAAAATAGTTTAAAACATCGAAGCTGATGTTAAAATTTAACTGAAGTTAAAATTATTGCATCTTTGACTGGTAAATTCTGAATCTAGCATCAAACGCTATATTTTTTAGATCGAAACAACTTTTTAAAAAAAATAACTATACCGATATTACATGTATTTCAAAGTTTTGCCTTTATCATAAATATGATATGTAAGAATATTACAAAGAATTAAAACAAATACATTAATAATTGTTTAATTTCAGTTATATTAAGAATTAAAGTAAAGGTATTAAGAATTGTTTAATTTTAATATTCCGGGGGGTTTTTTAAGTAATAAATCAATTTTTATGCTTCATCTATAAATCATCGTCGAACCAACCATCATATTTAATTTCTTTTTGAATTCTGAAATTTTGATAAATAGTCCTAAGCTTTTTACCCAATAATTGTTTAGGCGTGCATGACTTTTATTATGAATAAATCTGAAGTTTGACCAACATTGTTCCACGGCAGCTAAGAAGCTGGAAGTGAGAGAACTTGACAGGCAAGTTCAACTACATAAGGAAACTTTGTTAAAAAATTAGATTTCCACCAGCTAATTGGATTCAAATGTTCAACTAATGCCCAAAGTAGCAGCCCAGAGAATTCATCAGATTTAGAAATATACTTTTGGATTACTCTATAAGTCTTTAATAAAATAAATTAAATGTTAAAAGAATAAAAATTTTTAATATAAATAGTATTAAAGATACTTACATGTACTGCAATTTCGAATGTATAAGCATTTTCAAGATATAGAACAATAGTATATTCAAGATCATTTTGCCTTAGTGATTTTCCATGGATTCTAGAAATAAAATATCCGAAATAGAAAATTACTATATTTAACTAGGGGGCAAATTGCCTCACTTAGTATTTTTAGGGTTAGGGTATAGCTTTGAGATATATAGAAGTTTTTTATATAATATAATCTATATTAGTTATAAGGTTCTAATTTTAGTTTTTATAAGGTTTTTAGGGGTCCTGAACATTTTTACTTAAGACACCCGATCCTGTTTACTTAGTATGTTTTGAGATATAGTATTGTCAAACACTTCTAGAGAAAATTATCTCCAGTTAAGATTAGCAATACTCTTAGAAATATTAAAATTTAGAATAAAATAATAATAATAAAATAATATAATTACCGTAGATTTATAAGATTTGCAATTATCATTGCAAAATGAAATGCAAATTCAAATTGTTTATTAATTAAATTAAGAATTTTTGATTTAAAATTCAACTCCAAATCACATATATTGACTAATTCTTGAAGTAATTGCCATTTTGAATAAATACATAAAAGTAAAGGTGCATTAAATTCAAATATCCATATAAGCCTAACAAAAGGCATTAAAAAAGAAGATAATTTTTCAAGCTCTTGCTATAATAAATTGTTAAATATTTGTTCTTTAAGATCATATACAATTTTTTCACTAATTTCAGATTGTATTACAGTTATTTGAATTCTCAATTTATATTTAAAAACAGATTAAACTATATCTAGACAAGTTTCTTAGTAAGTATTAATTGATTGAACTAAAATAATTATATTTGGTTAGTTAATTAAAATTGATTCAACTTTAAAATGTAATTAAAAAAGATTAATAATTT